ATTCAGTTCACCATGAGTGTTCACTGTCTGGCCACTAAGAGAGCTGCCTCTCAATTTGGTCGTGAGTCAGAATTTCAGCTGTAGTAATGGCAATGTCATGTGCTGGGGGTTTCTTTACATTGCCAGTGTGGTTTCACAATTAAATTGAGTGATTTAAAAAAAAAAAATTTTTTTTAAATGTTTTAAAATATTTTAAAATAGGATTTAAAGTTATGCCTCGAGAGCAGGACTTAGTAACTTTTTATGTGTCGTGGCCCCCTTGGGCAGTCTGAGAAAACTTAGGGACCCCTTTTCAAAATCATATTTTTAAATGATACATAGAATTAGAGAAGAAACCAATCATCATAGTTATCAGTTATTTTAAAAAAGTCACCGATCCCAGGTTCAGAACCCCTGCTGCTGTAGAGATTTCAGAAATGTCTTATGGCAAGTATTGCAATATTTGGTGATGACCAATCAGGTGCTCATTAGAGGATCCTGATACCTCCAGCATCTTTGAAGTAGATGAGGTGGGCGTCAGGCTTAGGTCTTCCCTCTCAGTGTAAGGACCTTTTCTCTTTCTCACCACTAGGTGGCGGCCATGTCCACCCGCATGCGTCTGTGCTTTGCCACCTGCAGATAGGAAAGGCAGACCCTATGTCCTCTCCCAGTGAAAACATGAGCTTCAGAATGTGGCTGATCTGTTCCTCTGGGGAGCTTTGGGGGCAGGTCCCTGGATACTTTTTTAGCCTAGAAAAAACCTCCCAGTTTAAGGCGTGTTAAGGCTTGTACTGAACAGGTTTCTGGCATGCCCGAGTTGCTGTTTACTGGCTCTGCTTTGAAGGCAACAGAGTGGCTCACTCATTAACCACAACTTGTGCGAGAGGCAAACAGGCAAGTGGACTGGCTGAACCGCCGCTGGTTACATAGGATTGAACCCATTTCTCGTGTTTACTTTGAGCAGTACATGTGAAAATGTAGCCCAAAACAAGCTGGCATTACTAGTAAAAGCTGTGCAGAGATTTGCTTGTCTTTGGGCCCAATCCTTTTGGGGGTTTTGTGTAATTTCCATTTAGGTAATTTTTTTGTTTTGACTTGTTCCTTGGAAAAGATTTTCTTGGTAGATACAGCTAGTTTGGTTAGAAAATTAATTAGAAGAAACATGTGGTGTTTTAAGTTACGAGGAAATGTATTCTTTCAATCTATTTCTTTCATTTCTGACTTCATTATTTACCTGAGGGATTTTGTCTTGATCTTTGTGAACTACCAGGTGTTCCTAGTTGATGAACCCACAGGAAGTGAACTCTGTGTTCAGAAGAAGTGAACTCTGTAGTTAGCAGAGTTGGAGTTTTAACAGTGCTGCCTGCTAGTTGATCCTACATGCTGCTACTGGGTGCCACGCACTAGAGAGACAAAACAGGAAAATAGTTGCTTACCTCCAAGAGCTTGTGGTCTGGTGTAGAGGAAGAAACACGGACACAATAATGTCATAAGTTACAATATTATAAAATCCCTAGAAGGCAAACAGAAGGGAAAGATTAGTTCTGGTTAGGAGCAAGTGGAAGATCTCCTGGAGGGAGTGACACCGAAGGAAGAAAAGGAATCAGCTCTCTGAAGTGGAGAAAGAAGGGCACGTCTCTTTTAGATGTGGTGGCCAGTGTGTGCAGATGCAGAGAAATAGGAGAGAGCTTGGAATAACTTTGGAGAACAGTACACGGTGTAGTTTGACAGGATTTTCGAATGAGTAAAGAATAGTACTGCAAGGTAAGTGGGGGGCCTTGAATGTCAGACTAAGAAATTTGGGTTTTATTTGTTAAGCAGTGGAGAGTCAGTGAGTGACAGGATCTGAATTATCGGCATTAGGAAGACTTTTTTCGTAGCAGTGAAAAGGCTGGACTGAAAAAGGGGGAAATGCAAGAGGTGATGAGAACCTGAAATCAGGTTGATGCAGTGGACCAGGCCATGGAAAGGAAGTAGAAAGGCCCAGGCCAAAGCAAGAGATATTCTGGAGCTAGGGTGAAGACATTTAGCAACGGATTTGGGTGTGGGAGTGTCTGGAAGAGTAAAATTGTGCTCAATTCTCCACAGAAACAAAATGGACATGAAGAGCTAACTGAGAGAGGCATGGTAGATAGCGGCTGGACTTGGAGTCAGGAGAATGGGGTGCTGGCCAGCCTGGGGCACTAGCTGGGGACCCCACCCAAGTCGCCTCAGTTTTCTGCATCTGCCAGATGCATAAAGCAGTACTTTTAGTACTCCGTGAGGCTCAGATAAGATGGTATGTACAAGGGCACATGCACATTTTAAAGTGCTGTATGTGTGTCTGCTATTGTTGAGAGGCAGCATGGAGGCCAGAGGAACACCTGGGTTTAGAACTCAGATTCTAACCTAGGATTTGAACCCAGATCTCCAACTCCTGACTGACAAAGAAGTAGTCGTAATAGTAGTAGAAGTAAATTAGTGTTCTAGGCAAGGTAAGACTGCGAGAGTCTAGGATAATCATAAAGAACTAATAACAAAGGATTATTAAATCAATGTGATACAGGCCAAGAGAACAGAATTTGTATCCATATCAGTAACATAGGTAGCCTCCATCTCCATGAGTTTTAGGTAGAGTATCTAGGCCAATCCCCCCACTTTTACAGATGAGGAAGTGAAGGCCCAAAGAGTATGTGACCTGTTCAAAGTCATATAGGTAATTGGTGATAGAGTTGGAATTAGAACCTAGATCTCCCACCTGCCCAACCATTGTTCTTTCCAATACTTCCTGCTGACTTATGTCCTTTAGAGAATACTTCTTATAAAATATAAGCTCCTTAAGGACAGGAACCAACTTGGTTTTATATTTGTATACTTAGCACCTAGTACTGCCTACTAAGTGTTTCATAAATTCTTGTTGATTGATTTGTTTGACTAATTGACTGATTCTGGGATTCAAAATGAAGTGCTGTCTATAAGATTTTCAGTAATTTCGTTATTTTTAGGGAGAGTGGTTCTGTGTGTGTCTTTCTACCGAAAGCAAAAAAACTAGCTAGTCAGAGAAGCTTACATATGAGGGGTTTTTAATCTACCCTTTTTCAATGAACAAAAATCTGTTTTTCTCTTCCTACCCCTTCATACCATAGAAAAAGAAAAAAAGAAAAAGAAAACCCTTGTAACAAATAAACATAGTATCTGAACTGATGCAAAGTGAAGCGAGCAGAACGAGAACATTGTATACAGTAACAGCAATATTGTACAATAATCAACTGTGAATGAGTTAGCTAGTCTCAGCAGTACAATGATCCAAGACAGTTCGGATGCACTCCTGGTGAAAGATGCTGTCCGCCTCCTGAGAAAGAACTGATGGAGTCTGAATGCTATCTAAGCAAACTTTTTACTTTCTTTGTTTCTCTTGGTTTTTGGATTTTTGTTTTGGTCTGTGTTTTCTTTTGCAACATTGCTCACATGGAAATAGGTTTTGCATTACTGCATATGTATAATCTATACCAAATTGCTTACCTTCTTAAGGAGAGGAAGGGAGGGAACTCAAATTTTTAAAAATGAATGTTTAAAATTGTTTTTACATGTAACTGAGAAAAAATAAAATTGATGAAAAAATGAATGAATCAAGCAAAACAAATCCCGAATTGGTCATAACCCCCCTTCAAAAAAAAATATGCTTCATTCTACCCTCTGAGTGCATCCCCTCTGTCAGGAGGTGGGCAGCATGCTTCATCATTGGTCTTTTGGAGGTGTTATTAGTCATTGAGCTGATTAGAATTCCAAAGTCTTTCAAAAGTGCTTGTCTTTACAATATTGTTGTTATTTTATAAATTGTTCTCCTCACTTCAGTCTGCCTCAGATCACGTAAGTCCACGTAAGAATTGTATTTTCACCTTATTTAATGTGCCTGAGTTCCAAGGAGGCAGTGGCCAGGGTTTCTAGAACTGAATTGGACTTAGAATAGCCATTGCATCTCGTAGCTGTGGCTCAGTTTCCTGGGGCTGCCGTATTAGGCTTGCCATGTGAAAGAATCAAGAACCTAAATTGGGTTTGAAAGCTTGATTGGTCCAGATGGGAATGTAAAATCATCTTCTGTAACAAGTTCCAGCCTCCGGTGCTTAAGTAGGTGAGGTTTGCTGAGAGTGCTTGCTCCAGGGAGAAAATTAAAGATGGTGGAGGTGAGGAAGGGCAGTGTTCCAGCTCTGCATTTCTAGAATAGTCTATGCTGGTTCTTAGAGATTAGACGGGGAGTGGTCCTGGGGTCCTGCCTTTTCTTACCAGCTTCTTCCTACAATGATCACTTCTCTAGGGTCTTCCATCATAGGTCTAGGTCTTCCAGTCCATTAACAAGCAATTATGAAGCACTCACTCTACCAGACATTGTGGTTGGTGGGTGCTGCAAATACAAGGACCAGCTAAGACAGCCCCTGCCCTCCTGGGGCTTCCATTTTCCGCAGGGCTCCCTTGGGGCAGCAGTTAGAAAGTTGACATTTTCCAGAAAATAGACCAACCACAAACTAATTCATTTTAATTCATGAGAAATACTTATCATAGATGTAGAGCTCAAAGAGACTTCCCCTTCAGTTTACCACTAGAGGCCATCGAGGTGAAATGATTTGCCTCTGTTTCTAAAGGCAGTGTTCTTTCCACTGTTCCACTGACTCATCATGATGGATCTCCATACGTACAGATTTCAGGCTTCACGTTAGATCAGTTTGTATCTCATTGTACAGAGGTCTCTTTTCAGATACCAAGAAGACATGTGCTGGGCCCCCAGGGAAATCCAGGGGTGAGATAGGAACACAGTCCTCAGCTTCAGGAGCTTCCATTGTGCCCAGCAGGTGTCACACAACAGTCAGCTTTGGTGAAAGCTTGTTGTTTGATTGGTCAGTGCAAGACTGAGTGTTCATCTTGGTCTTTTCCATTGTCATGGTCCATGACTATTTATCAGAGTGTTTCTGAAGTATTCCATGATAAAGAATTATTACTGAATTACCACTAAATAATCCTATTTTTTCACTTTCTCTTTCTCTCAGGTGTGAAGAAATCATTGATTTATAGTTCAATGAAAGTGCAAAAAATGTGGACCGGATGGACAAAGAAGACATCCTAATGTTATTTGCTTTTGTAAATGCTGTGTATAGATGAATAAAGTGTCTGATCTTTTTGTCAGAACAGCATTGATTATTTTTACTTACTATTTAATTTCTTTGGAAACCTTAGGACAAGTAGGAAAGGATTACGTAAAAGTGGCTTGGAGTAGTTTCTGAGAAGAGAATTCTTCTGTTCAGATAGATGTTCAGCTATGTGGATTCAGTGCTCATTAGAACTTAGACTGACATGTTTTCCAGGCGCATTAGTGTCAGAAGTGTTTGAGGTTGCTCACGTGTGTGGAATATTCAGTCCCTGAATGATGGCTTTAGGAAGCTTTCTCTCTCTACTTGTCTTCTCAATCTCCCCTTCTTACTATCGCCTCCACACACTTATTTTTTCCAGTCAGGGTGCTAAAGTGTTTAATTGAGGTTTTACTGGGTTAAGGCTTTTATTTTTCTTTGATATCCTTCTTTAAAATGCATAGTAGTCATAACCTTATGTGCTACAGTCTTTGGGGCCCATAATTGTAATGGTCAAATGCCATTTTGTTTTATCCTTCTGGTGAGCCATATGTCGTCTTTTCTTGTATACAAGTTGTGAGAAGTATAGTATCAGGCTATAAACCTAGGCTAACTGTGTCACTGAAACCAGTCTATTACCAGGTCTGTCCTTTTCTTCCTCTGAATTGTCCATCAGCTTTGCCCTGTATTCTCCATCCCTACTGCCGATACCAGGGTCAGAGTCTTAGAACCTCTCCTCTGGTCCTCCAGCCTCACTTCCCTGCTCCCTGTCTTCTCCAGCTCTTCCAGCCCGGTCTTAAATCAGTGGCTTCATCCTGTGACTCTGTACCTTCCAAAGCTAGATGAGAGCTCCTCTTTGAAGTCACCCTGACCAGTTTGGACTTTGCCAAAGTCCTCCTTCACCTGGTCACACTTGACCAATCCATCGTCTCATTTCCCGCTCCTGTTTCCCAGAACGGTGCTTAGAAGCAGGTACTTGATAGATTTCACTGAAGCAGGTGCTTCCACAGATCCAGATTGCAATCCCCCTCCACACGTCAACGAATGATTTCATGTATTTCCATGGCCAAAAATATTTGTCCCTTGGTGGCCAACTTTGTGATAGGCTTCTCTGAAATGAGGTTGGTCGTCCTGAGACAGGCATGGAGTCATGTGAAGCCTCCTCCAAGCCACACCAGCTTGTAGGACCTCACAGAACTTGGACCGCCGAAGCACAACTTTCAGGAGCCCAGAGTTAGCATCCAATGCCGAGGCTTTGGAAAAGCCCTCCAGTGGAAGCTCGATAATTAGAACGCAGCATTTTAAATCTTAAAGCCCATTTAGGCTGCCACCACCTTAACTTCCTAGGCAAGGAGAATCAGGCCCAGAAGTTAATTTTCCAGGGCCGTATGGCTATAGTTGTTTAAGTCTGACCCAGGGATCCTGACTCTCAGGTCCATGCTTTTTTCATTACATGACACGCTTTCCAGATATGATGCAACACAGCAAGCATTTATTAAGTGCCTACTGTATATGGGTGCTTGGTTTTTATGCTCAACAGCTCCCGAGACATTTTAGGTGTTGCCTGTAATTGGAGCAGGAAAGTGACCAGATCAGTGGTTAAAAATAACCACCGAAGTGAACCAACTTAAACAGCTTCTGAACTATAACAAAGAACAGCCCTCGAAAGTAGAAAGTTTGCTCTTTATCCCAACATACTGCACCAGAAAGCAAAGTTTGGGGAGAGGTGCAGTGTCAGGAAGCAGTGAATTAAAACAAAATGTATCTTTTTAAAAAGAAAAAGCATTGGACTCGGAATTTGAATACTGGCTCTGCTGCCTACCACCTGTGACAGGTTAAGTCCCATGACCTCTCTGACCCTTCCACACTAAGGGATTGTGGGAAAAGTATAAACCCTGAAAGCCTCTTATTGTGAAATTTTATTATTGGTTTATATAGAGCTTCTGCATTGCTTTTCATCCTTCCTATTAAGTTGGGGGGTATGGGAACGGGGAAGCCAGTCTGCATACTTCCTTTGCAGCTGAAGTTTTACTGTAGATTTTGATCAAAGGTGATTAGCCACGGCCTCCCTGTGGAATCATGTGAACTCTGGCTCCCTGAACTTGTTTCTAGTCATGGGTGTGTAGATGAAATATCACTAGTCGAAGATCTGGATTGAAGCTCCAGGGCTGCCACTTACTCGCTGTGACTTTGGGTAACTCATTTCCTTCTCCAAATCTGAGTTTTCCCATCTGTAAAATAAACTGGAGAAGAAAATGGCAACCCACTCAGTGTCTTTGCCAAGAAAACCTCAAAGGGGAGTCACAAAGAGTCGGACACAACTTAAAAACGAAAAAATGATTCAGCAGCAACATTCTGACTTTGGTTGATGCCTTTCGAGATGCCCAGGGCTAGGATGATTGACCCTGGTTATTCTTAGAAGTATCAGTGATCTTCCTTCTTGAATTTTCCCCAGCTGGGCAAAAGCCCAGACCTAATAAGAAAGAGTTACTGTCTCAGAAAATGGGAATGCCCTGCTGTTGTTTCCACAGTTGGCTGAGGTCTGTGATGTACACCATAGTGTTGTGGGTCTGTGTGTTTGAACATAGGCCAATCGATGGCTTCTGCTGGTGGCACCACACTTGAGGGAGCTAGCATGGAACTAGATTACTTTAATCTGAACCGATAGGAACCAACATTTCCATCTTAGTTTTAAGTTCCATCTTTGGGTTTGAAACAATTTTACATCCTGGATAAGTGTTATTTTATTTTAATGATGTCAATGATGGACATCATTCATGGATATTTTACAAATATTTTAAGACTTCAGAGTAAATCATTTTAGTAGAAAAAACTCATAGAAAAGACCCTGAGGGTTTTCTAGTCAAATTTGACAGAGAAGGAAACTGAGGACCCAAAGAGTAGAAGTGTCTTGCTTAAGATCACTCAGCCACAAAGCAGCAAAGTAGAATTGCAACCCAGTTCTCCTGTCAACCAACTGCAGCTTAAGGGCCATACTCCTTCCTACCCCTCCCCAACAGTGTCCAGTGGTCTGAAAAGACTCTTTTGTCTAGGTCCTGGCTTCTGCAAATCCATTTTATCTCTCTGCCTTTCTGAGTGCCCAACCTCATCCCTAGAGGCCATGGGGCTTTGCACGAATTATTTTGCTTTTGGTAAGAATCCAATAGTGAATGAGCTGTGACTCACCACGCCCTACATGTTCAGTTCTTGTTCAGACTAAAGCTACACCTTCCCACAGTAGTTTGCTCTCATTGCCTGACTCCTAGAAACGCCTCCCCCATTGCCACCCCACACACACACACACACAGGCTAACTACTCTATTTGGAGGTTTGGGGGCAAGGGGAGGAGGAGGATCAGTAAGTAATACATGAAACTACAAAATCAGGACTCAAGAAATTGTGCCAAATTAGACCCTTGCTCCCTAAAACGGGAGCTAACTGAAAAAAGAGCTCATCCTTCTTCAGCCTGGTGGCTTCTTGGTGTGGGAAGAGAACAAGCAGGTTCAGGCAGGGAGAGGTGTCTACACTTGTCAAGTTCAAGCATCTCAAAGCAGTCCTTCTGACACTGAAGAAGAAGGGCTCTGATTTGGAAAAATTGCTGGATCAAGGAGGGAAGGAGAATCAGAGAACAATTTCAGACTAGGGAAGGATCGTGGAGGGCATCTTTGCATGGTCTTCGCATGGGCAGCTAGGTGGTGCAATAGTGCATAGAGTGCCTGGCCTGGAGTCAGGAAGATTCATCTTTGTGAGTTCAAATCCAGCCTCAGACACTTACTAGCTGAATGACTCTGGGTAAGTCACTTCACCCTGTTTGCCTCAGTTTCCTCATCTGTAAAATGGGCTGGAAAAGGAAAATGGCAAATATACCTTTGCCAAGAAAACCTCAAATGGGGTCATGAAGAAAAACAACTGAACAACAGCATGGTATGATGGAAAGTGCTGGATTTGGAGTCAAGCACTGAGTTCAAATCTCACCTCTGCTACTGACTACTGTTGTGACATTGGAGAAGTAAATCTCTTCACCTCTCTGGACCTGTCTCCTCATCTGCCCAAGGTCACAGAGCCAGTCTATATGAGACACAGAAATCCTCTACTCTGACCCTAGTCTTCTCTCCACTGTGCTGCACATTGCCAAACTTTCACAAAAGGAGTGACTGATTAATGGTGGAGATTTCAGACCAGGTAGGAGGACAGTGTATAACAGGCCACTGGGAGAGAGATTTGGGGTGGGACAGAAGGACTTTGTGGCTGCTTTGTCCATCACTGTATTGGGCTGGCCTGAACTTGAGAAGAATTATGGCCTGAATTACAAGGAAACTTGGCCTTGCTAAAGGCAAAAACTATCTGGAATATTTAAGCAGCCTCCTGGCCAGCAAGCCTCTTACCTCATCCCCAGAGGTCTGGCCGGGATGTACATCACAGCATTGGGAGTCTAATGGAGCTTAAAAGAGTATGTTTCCAGGACTGGAAGCATACTCAGGTTTTTAATCAAGGATTGCTTCCTGTCTGCAGAAGGATTTCTTTGGGACCTTGGGATAGGAGTTAGTTTGTACAACTAACGAAAACTCCAGGAAATCATACCAGAGGACTTTGTTTCTCTCTCCTGTATCCAATTACATGCAATTAAACATTTCTATGATACTCTCCAGTGTAGAGCACTGTGCTAGGTTAACACACAAAATGAGGTCTCCACCAACAGGGAGTTTACTATCTAATAGGGGAATCATAACACTAGGAATTGTTTTCAGGTGGGGTAAAAATAGTGAGCAAGTAGTGCAAAGGACAGTTGTACTGTGGTACAATCAAGCTGAGAGGGAGGCAACCCATCTCCCAGAAAGACCAGCCCATGCTCTTGGGGAAGCTGGGACGCTTGGCAGTGGGAGGTGGGAAACAAACCCCAGAAAAAGATTATCAAAGTGACAGGACCATGGGCACAAGACCACAAGGTAGGGGTATAGGGAGAGTAGTTGTCAGACAGACTTGAAGAAAAATCACACCCCACTAGATATTAGCACTCTAAGGCAAAGTCCTATCCACCCTGCCCTAGTTATGGCGCTACAT